TGGTAGAGCGCTAGCCTTGAGCTGAAGAGCTGAGGGACAGCGCCCAGGCCCAGAGTTCAGGCCCCACGACTGGACCCCCCCCCAAAAAAAAAAAGAATTCACAGACTTTCCTCTGCCTAGGCTGGCTTTGAACCTTGATCCTCAGATCTCGGCCTCCTGAGTAGCTAGGATGACAGGCGTGAGCCACAAGCGCCCAGCGTAGTTTTTATTGATCTTAATGTAAGTTGCAGACACCTGGGCCTTGCCTTCTTCATACTTCAGGGCTCACATATTAACTAGATTAGGTATTTATTTACAGGACAGTCTCTGTTCACACACAAGGCCAGGCAGAGGTCTTAAGAGCATGTGGGTTGAGTTCCAATCAACGCTAGGCACAGGCATGAACACTTACTCATCCCTCAGGAAGTAGAAGAGACTGGAAAATCATAGTTCTGCCTTCAACCCTGACAAATTGTGTGTGTGTGTGTGTGTGTGTGTGTGTGTGTGTGTTTTCTGTGTTGGTCCTAAGGCTTGAACTCAGGGCCTGGGCACTGTCCCTAAGTCTCTTTTTGCTCAAGGCCAGCACTCTACCATTTGAGCTACAGTGCTACTTCTGGCTTTTTCTGTGTATGTGGTACTGAAGAATTGAACCCAGGACTTTTTTTTTGGGTCTGGTCGTGGGGCCTGAACACTGGGCCTGGGCTCTGTCCCTCAGCTCTTCAGCTCAAGGTGAGCGCTCTACCACTTGAGCCACAGCGCCACTTCCGGCTTTTTTTTCCTTTTGCTTACGTGGTGCTGAGGAATTGAACCCTCATGCATGCAAGGCAAGCGCTCTACCACTGAGCCACCTTCTCAGCCCCTCGAATCCAGGACTTTATGCATGCTAGGCAAGCACTCTACCACTGAGCCACCTTGCCAGCCCCAGCACTCTTTTTAACTGTTTTTTTTCTTTTTGTCAGCATGGGGCTTGAACTCTGAGCCTGGGCGCTGTCCCTCAGCTCTTCTGCTCAAGGCGAGCGCTCTACCACTTGAGCCACAGCACCACTTCTGGTTTTCTGAGTGGCTTATTGGATATAAGAGTCTCATGGATTTTCCTGCCCCGGATGGCTTTGAATCATGATCCTCAGATCTCAGCCTCCTGAGTAGCACGGATGACCAGAGGGAGCCACAGGTGCCCCAGAGCATTTTTCTTTTTTAGACCAAAGACAGCCCTGGAACAGCTAAGAACCAGCAGCCTGAGCCGATTGCAGGTGTTTTAAACCTGGCCGTTACTGCCCCCACGTGGCCATCTCACAAACTGCACCAATAGCGAAATTCTTTTTGTTGTTGCCAGTACTGAGCCTTGAACTCAGGGCCTGCCATCTTTTCCTCCTTCCTCCTTTACTCCTGCTTCATGTGTGATGGGAATCTGTCCTCATAACTCAAGGTTGCTCTCATGGCCCACTGACTCCCCCCCCAACCCTTCCTGAAAAATCTCCTCCCCAAAACTTTTTTTTTTGTTGTTTGTTTGTTTTTGCTGGTCCTGGGGCTTGAACTTAGGGCGTGGACACTGTCCCTGAGCCACAGCACCACTTCTGGCTTTTTCTAGGTAGTCTATTGGAGTAAAGAGTCATGGATTTTCCTGCCTGGGCTGGCTTTGAATCACGATCCTCAGAGCTCAGCCTCCTGAGTAGCTAGGATTACAGGCGTGAGCCACCGGCGCCAGGCTCCAAGTTAAAATCTTAACTCTACCAAAACAAGTTGGGCTGAAGATGTATATGAGTGGTATAGTGCTTGCTTAGAATTCATGAGGGGCTAGATTCCATCATCCTAACACACACACACACACACACACAACCTATCTAGATCATAGATGTATATATCTATGTATAGATGCATACACACAACAGCTGTTAAATATATATTAAAAGCTTAAGTCCTGGAGCTGGGAAAGTGGCTCAGTGGTTGAGTGCTTGAGTTCTTGTCTTGTATGCATGAGGCCCTGGGTTCGATTCCTCAGCACCACATACACCGAAAAAGCCAGAAGTGGTGCTGTGGCTCCAGTGGTAGAGCGCTAGCCTTGAGCTGACGAGCTGAGGGACAGTGCCCAGGCCCAGAGTTCATGACCGGCAAAAAAGCCTTAAGTCCTGTAAATGACATTGTATTACATTTAAGTCCTGTAAATGACATTGTATCACATTTATTGTCAAATTAAATCAAACTTCTAATGTAAAGTCCTCAAAAACCTGCCTTGAATGGTTTTTGGGAAAGGGAGACACTGTTTGCGCCCTCTGGTGGTGAGGAGTGCACTAACAGCCACACATCATCTGGGTGTCGATTTCTGAGCTGAGCCAAATCCTCTCGTATTTAAAGTGATGATCAGTTTAGAATACTCAGCGTCTGCCCTCCCCGAGCAGGTGGTGTGGCAAGTTAGGAAGCAGATAAGAAAAGTTAGGTAGTCTTCACATAAGGTATCAATCAGCCTCTATTCTGGGAGACAGATTCAAATGACTAAAGAGGCAGATGTGGGTGAGCCTCAGATGGGTTCAATCTAGGGCAAATAGAGGCCAGGTGCCAGAGGCTCACACCTCTAATCCTAGCTACTCAGGAGGCTGAGATCTGAGGGTCACAGTTCAAAGCCAGCCTGGGCAAGGACAGTCTGTGAGACTCTTATCTGCTGTGGCTAGAGTGGTAGAGCACTCACTTTGAGCTGAACTGCTGAGGGACAGCGCCCGGGCCATGAGTTCAAGCCCTAGGACAAAAAAAACTAAAAACAAAAACATAAAAACACCACCACCAAACTAGTCACAGATGTCACTGTTATGAGTGTAATCTCAGATCACAATTCCATCAGTGGCCTGGAAATCTTATGACAAGTCCTTGACCCTTGGAACAGAACAGACCCTCTTGTTCCTGTCTGGCCTGTTTAATTTTAATTTATTCATTTAATAATAATAATTTTATTATTTTGCCAGTCCTGGGGTCTGAACTCAGGGCCTAGGCACTGTCCCTGAGCTTCTTTTGCTCAAGGCTAGCCCTGTACCACCTGAGCCACAGCTCCACTTGCAGCTTGTTCTGTGTATGTGGTACTGAGGAATCGAACCCAGGGTTTTGTGCATGCGAGGCAAGCACTTACCACGGAGCCACCTTCCCAGCCCATGTAACTGTAACACTTTGTACATCACCTTTATAATAACAATTTTAAGAAACCTCAGTTTCTTAGGTGGAAGATGAACTATGTAACTTGTGGGCAGGGACGGGAAGAGGTAACATTGTCCAAAAAGAACTGCACTGATTACCTGACTTACGCAATGGTAACCCACCTTAATAATAACATAAACTGATATTAAAAAACAGCCCTGTGTACATCACCTTGGCACTAAAAATAAAAATTAAGAAAGGAAGAAAAAGGGGGGAAAAGAAAAACCGGCCCGGCCTCGTCTCACTTGCAAGTTCAAGAGGAAGCTCAGTGGGTTCCATTCGACGTCTGTCACTCAGGGTGAGGAGGGGGCGGGGCCACTGGAACTGTCCAATCGGGGCGCGCCGCCGGAGGGGCGTGGCGCGGTGACGCAGCCGC